ACACTGCTGCTACTGTATTACACACTACTGTTACTTTATTACACACTACTGCTACTGCATTACACACTACTGCTACTGCATTACACACTACTGCTACTTTATTACACACTGCTGCTACTGTATTACACACTAATGTTACTTTATTACACACAAACTCTTCTGTGTTATGGCCCACTGTAAATGTATCCCATCCAACTGTTGCAGGTACTTCTACCAATTGATGGAGGGCCTAGAGTACCTGCACAGTCAGGGAATCATACACAAGGACATCAAGCCCGCGAACCTGCTGCTCACCACCGACGAAACTCTGAAGATCACAGACCTGGGTGTGGCAGAGGTGGGATACCTTACCAATCTGCTGAAAAGCAATCAGAAACATACACTATTACAGCAATTGTTCGCACTTTGTTAAACAACTGAGTTTGAAGTAATGATTTGAATAGTGCTCAGTTCATGTGTCCATCTTCGTTCTGGTGGTAATTTTTTCCTCAAATGTGGCTCCTATGTCTGGAAGGCCCAATCTTCATGTTTTTTAACAAGATTTGGATGTTTGAAGATGATTTGACCCCTTAATCATAGCGATCGTATTGGTTCATGGACCTGCACAAGATTAGCATGATGAGCTGGTACTAGTCTATTCAGAGCCTTGAATACAAGAGCGAGAACCTTGAACTGGAAATATTGTTTCATGGGCAGCCAATCAACACTTGGGTTTTTTATGATCGTATCTGCTTGTTCTTGTGATAAGTTTGGTGGCAGAATATTTATCTTCTGGAGTTTGGTGATAGGATACTCGTTAAGACAGTAAAACCAAGCATTGCAGTAGTCCATGACAGAAATTACATAGTCCAGTACTAAGGTTGCAAATGAATTCCTGTCTTGCTAAATTTGTTAAGCTGATGTTGCATAGATGGCACTATGCATTCTAGCACACTGAGTTGACATGTGCTTCCAAATTAAAAGCAGAATAGAAAATTATACCAAGATATCTTGGCCTTGTCACATACCCCTTTTTTTGACAATTGGAAGTATATCTTGCCATCCTCTTTGATAATATACTCAGCAGCTCAGTCTTGTCATAGCTGAGTTTGAGGAAGTCCTCACTCATCCACTTATAGATGTGACACAGGCTGTTACAAACACTAGTTTCAACAGACATCTAATTGAGTGGTTTAAGGGGAGATATACATAAGGCTGTTATCTGAGTAAAAGTGGAAGCACAGATTATGAGAGTATTACATCTGCTGTTTTGGTTCATGCTGAGATTGGTTACAGCATTTGATTGACATGACTGAAACTTGTTGCACAAAGCTCAGAACTTGGAGGAATCAGCTTGAATTTGTTTGGCAATATAGCAGATATATTTCAAGCGACTTTACTCTGATTATTCATATAGCAATGTTTTTCAAGCCCACATGGTAAATTAATGAAACATAGAATTCATGGATGGAAGACAGTGATCCGTGAAAGCACAAGTATTGTGTAAGATGCATTGTTGCCAAGATTGAGACTGATGCTATAAAGTGTTCATAATTAAGTATGAATGTTCATTGTGAAAAGTTACAGGTTTTAGGAGTCCCATGAATCAAGTAGAATGATCCACAGAGGAAACTCTTAAATGGCAGGTTTAGAGTCTTGGCCTTTAAAAGATTATGTACACAAATTGCGAAGTAGCACTGAGATGCATATTTGCAGTTATGATCACCACATTTCAAGGAATGATGAAAAACAGTCTCAATAACACAATCAGCAGAAAAGATAAGAAAACGAGAACTTACATTCTAAATATTGTGTGACCACCATGGGTTGTTGAGTATCGACATGCACTATGTTGTACAAGCGCAGTGACTGTTGAAGTCTATGTTAGGGTATGGGAGTCGTCTTAGTGCTGAGATCACAATGTGTTTGCCCATCACGCTGAAGACCCGGGTTCGATTCCCCACATGGGTACAATGTGTGAAGCCCATTTCCGGTGTCACCCACTGCATTATTGCTGGAATGTTGCTAAAAGTGGCATAAAACCTTACTCACTCACTTAGTTTGTACACCAATGCCCTTGTCTTTAGATGATAGGGTCACAAGCCGAGGGTCATCCCTTTGAAGCATGTTATATACAAGGGTAAGTGTCAGTATCCTGGACTAAGGTAGGTCATTTGACAGTGTCCTCTCATCACCCCAACAGTTGCTGCCAGATTACGGAAGGAAACATATTTTGTGATGTAAATATTTCATTTTCCATTGCAGAAAATAGATGTATTTTCCAAAGATGATACTTGCAAGACAAGTCAAGGCTCGCCAGCATTCCAACCCCCAGAGATAGCTAATGGTGATGATTCCTTCGCTGGCTTCAAGGTGGACGTCTGGTCGTCAGGGGGTAACATTGTAAGTTGCATGGTATTATACCAGAGCCATAATGATGTACACTGTTAGGATTCTGGGTAAAATAGGTCCCTAGCAACCATTGCTCATGTTGCTGGTCCTAATGGATCAGAGGATCAAACTTGGTGAATTAACTGCGTCCACATTATAGTTTTACAAAGATGTCAATTAACTGAGTGCACATTATAGTTTTACCAAGATGTCGATCAGTGCCCGCAATAACATTCACTGGATTGCTTGGTCCAGACTATTATATAGGTCACTGCCATATAACTGGAATATTGCTGAGTGAGGCATTCAACAAAAGTCTGTAACTGATGACTTCCGAACAAAAGAATCCTTCTAGATGATTTATGATATACTGTCTTGAAATATCGTCTTGAAATTAATTTGAGAGTGAAATGAGATGAGGTTCATACTTGTATTAATAGAACTTTATAGTTTTGTTTAAAAGTGAGTGAGTGAGTGAGTTTAGTTTTTCGCAGCACTCAACAATATTCCAGCTATATGGCAGCAGTCTGTAAATAATCAAGTCTAGACCAGACAATCCAGAGATCAACAGCCTGAGCATCGATCTACGCAATTGGGATACAATGACGTGTTTGTTCAAAAGAAAAAGTACCAGAAAATACCAACTTACATCTAACAGCAAGCAAAGCTCTGTTCAACATCATGGTTTATTGAGCAGCAGATTTAACTAGTATATATCAGTAACAATATGTCATTCAAACATGACTGTGGTTGAGAGTTCTACTGGTGTCAAACGAGGCATCAATAACTGCATCAAAGGCTGACACGACCCAGCACATGTGGAAAGGCTCCATCGGATCTACAGCATTTGTCTTGTCTGTCTTTGTTGATATTTTCTCCATGTACCAATCAGTTTAGTAGTGTTTTATCACGGTTTTAAATGGTTCTCCTGTGGAAGTACTCTAGTCTGCTCAAATAAGCCGAGCTATTTGCTGTTTGATTGGATCGATTTGAGTGAGTGAGTTTAGTTTTATGCCGCACTCAACAATATTCCCGCTATATGGCGACAGTCAGTAAATAATCAAGTCTTTGATCCAGTGATCAAAAGCATGAGCACCGATCTATGCAATTGGGAGACAATGACATGTACCAACCAAGTCAGCGAGCCTGACCACCGTTCCCATATTTCAAAACTTACAGTAAACAATAATGCCTTGCTTTTTGCAGGAAAGGGGTTAATTGTATGTTTCCTGGTAGCGGAGCAACATTTTATGCCGTTTATAACATAATGTTTCCATTCTTTTGTGTTCATCCAGAAGATGTACACTTTCTCGTTGTTTGTTCTTCCAGGTACAACATAACAACAGGATTATATCCATTTGAAGGTGACAATATCTATAAACTGTTTGAGAATATTGGTAAAGGCCAGTACACAGTTCCTGACACCGTAGATGATAGTTTAAAGGATCTTCTTAATGGTAGGTGTTTGTCTTTATATGTTGTAACAAATGTGTTTTTCTTTTATTATATTATGAGTCAGATTTGTCTGCTCTAAATTTTCAAAACTTTAAAAATCAAGCTCTGTCATCTTAGGGTGCGAATTCTGCATGCAGAGTTGCTTCCCTTTAGTTTGATATGCCACAATGTTGTTTTGAAATCCAGTTTGTCCCAAGTTATGTTTTTTCATGGTTTCACCAAAATGGTAAATGTCTGCGACCTGCATCACTTTAGGCTTTCCTACCACAAAAAGCTGATATGCTATGATGTAATAGGAATCCTTTATCAAACCCAACTACTCAACCCACTCAGCGATAAACCTTAATCCTAACGTAACCAGTAGTTACTATTCCATGGTTACAGCGAGGACAAGTGCTTTGTATCATAATGGTTACAACATATACAATATGGCACCTGACTGTCACCATCCATGAACAATGCTGATTTTACCTCATGCTGTTAATCACTCCATTCTCTCAGGTGCCAACTTATGGCTGGAGTGTGTATGGCATGAAGAAATTTCATTCAGTCACAGCCATTCATTAAAATTAAATGAATAAGTTTTGTTGTAAGACAGTGTAGAGCAGTTTTTCATCACCCTGATGTTGTATTCAGTTCATTCAGAATCACATGTGATAGGTATTGCACGCCAGTGTGAGATTGTGCTATTTGAAGTCTCATGTATTCGTTTTTAATTCTGTTGCAGGAATGCTGGCGTGCAAAGCCAGTGATGATCTAGTCAGTATAGCACAGATAAGACAACACCAGTAAGTTGTGAACTGCCAGACCTGAACTGAACACAAACATCTTCATGTGTGAATGTTCTTTCAAAGTACCATGTCAACTACACTTTTAAGATTTAACCCTGTTTCAACTTTGCATTCACTCAGGGTGGTGTGCTAGCCTAGTGGTTAAGGTGTTTGCTCATCACTGAAGACCCGGGTTCAATTCCCCACATGGGTCCAATGTGAGAAGCACATTTCTGGTGTCTCCTGCAATGATATTGCTGCAAAATTGCTAAAAGCAGTGTATAACAACACTCACTCACTCATTCAACCCCACTCACTCACTCACTCACTCACTCACTACATGCAATATTATCTCCTCCTAAAGTTTATGGCTTGTGTTTTTGTGTTTCCCGTAGAAGTATTAAAAAAGCTGGAGAAAAGGTTTATAAAAGGGTTTTCAAAATGACCAGCTCCTTGAGCATGTACAAGTTGCATGGATATGTGCACTATATAAATATCCTATAGTAATAATTATCAATGCAAATTTGATGCTTGTTGGCAGTGATGGTATTTGCTGACAGAATTCTGTTTTACTATGTACGCCCGTCATCAATGATGTGTGGTCTATTTCCAGGTGGTTCAAGCGGAAACATGCCAAGGTTGAGGATCGTGTGTTTTTATCTGCATCTTCGGATGGCGACTTAATGAGGAGTATGACTGTGGTGCCATATTTAGAGGATCTCCACTTTGGTACACCAAGTGAGGAAGAAGAAGATGAAGAACTGGAGAGTGCGGTGGCAGGCAATCATCAAGGTCAAGGTCAGTGTTCAACTTTAAATAGTTGATTAATCCTCTAATTGCTGGTGTTGAACCCATTCAACTGAAGAGTGCCATAAGTATAACTTGCAATAACTATTTGCTAAATAGGATGTACCTAACATCCAAGGCATGCGTAAATGTTCATCTTTCTAAGTACATGTATATGAATTTTAAAAAGTATAATTTTTCCTTATCCTGACTCATGCTCTTTTGCTTGTCCCCTTCCTCTTGCGAACATAGTGGAACACTTGTATCTCCTTAATTGAAGCTCCCTTCAATGTAAAATCACTAATTGGTACTCACCCACGAGTTACCTCCCCTGCCGTAGGCGCGGGAACAGGTGTCGCCACCCTCTGGCCTCATGCTTGACTCTCTCCTTCTTCGCCCAGTGAGCAGGATGTGAGAGCGCCTGTGTCTCCTTACACACTATATCCTTTGGTTTTTCTTAGTTAGTTACCTTTTATAGTTTACTATAAAGGTATAGCTAGTATCCTTCAGTTATTTGCGTTAATAATTAATCGTATTTCTACTGTTTATTCAATTGGAGTTCGCGTGATTGTTCAGCTAGTTTTACATTGATGAAAAACTGTACTATTTGTAGATTACGCTTTTTCCGCCATGGATCCGCATGTGGTATGCCCTAGTTGTACTACGCCTTTGTGCGCTTGACTCACGCTGCAGTTACTGCATAAATTTAACCAATTCTGCCTTTGATAAATACCATCTTTGCGCCTTGGAGACGGTTGCAGATAGGTCACGCGCAAACTAGGTGTAGACATGGCCGATACGCCGGATTGCCCATCCAGTCAACTGTTGTCGAAAGTGATCCCTCCCGCCTGGTGTTCTGCTTGAGACCCCATCGGAAGAGGGACGGGATGCAGTCCGTCACCTCTAAGAAGCGACCGGCCTCTCCAGACATCCAGTCATCGCGCAGACAAAGTCCAAGAGGGCCTCAACGCTCTTCTCAACGCAGACTTCAGTACTCCCCAGGGCAGCGCCTTCCTCCAAAGGGAAATCTACGAAGTCATCGAGAACTTTCTCAGACGCGAGATCGCTCCAGCAGCAGAATTGGGCCTCTACGATGACCACCCGTCATCATCATACCCGACATACGCCACAAGAAGCTTACTCCAGTGACAGCGACAGTGACGCCAGCAGAGATCAACAAGCAGCCTGATGCCTCTACACTGATGTCAGACGAGATCGCTGAGGGCCCCACCGCTAACACAGCAGAAAGGGCACCATCTACTACGCCGCAGATCATCCCAAACGATCTTATGAAACAGATCATGATTATGATGGAAGGCCACTATAGACTGGAGAAGCAGCCATCCCAGGGTCCGGAGCCTTACAAGGAAGGCTCCAACGTGACAGCACCACAGGGCACCATCTGTCAACGTAGCAGCCACGACAATGCAGCCTTCGCGAAGGAAGTCACAGACCACCTCGACGAAGGACCCAGATGTACAGCCTTCGCTGGCAGCCTTCGGCTCAAGCGGAAGAATCATCACCTTCTTCGGGCAAGGCCATACTCAGATATGGAATCTGATCACCAGACCACACGCGAAGCCTTCGAAGGTCATATCATCGCTCCCCAGGACCGACGATACTTAATGGCTTCTGAAGGTTAGCTGGCGCTCGGCGTCAAGGACACCTGAACCCAGATCGCCTTCATCTAAAAGATCAGCAAGGGACTACACAAGAGCTTCAGCGGGCTATCAGTCCCCTCATAGATCGCCAAGAAGGTCAACCTATCGTATATAGATCACCAAGATTTATCACCTCGCCGATCACCACGCCGATCACCTCACAGGTCTGCACATAAGCCTACAACTAGATCTCCACAAGCGCCAAACGATATAGAGATAGAGCCACACAGCCCTACATCAGAAGAGCAACAACCTCTTATCTATGATGATGGAATGGAAGATGATGGAGGAATTATTTTCTCAGATGCAGAGATAAGATATTGATGGTCAATAATCTAGATCTCTCATCACCTTCCAAGAGTGGCAATAAGGCTTAGACTTTATCTGATGAAAGAAGATGACGCAGATGCTATTACACTACCCTAATCGACCGACATGCGGCGGTACCTCAGAACCTAGATACAGCATTTAACAAAGCCACAAAGGTTCAGACGCCACATCTGCCAAATTTCAGCCAAGAAGTTCTCCACGCATAATATGGAACCCTTCTTCAAAGCGCCAAGACATCGATGAGAACTATAAGCTGATCTCCGATGCCAAGAACAAGTACTACAAGATTGATGATCGGAAATTGGTTCAGATAGAAACCATGACGAGGCGTATGTTCTTCGGTCTAAATAGATCTAGAACAATAAATGAGACACTTATCTCCAGATTTCGGAACACGACCTCTGAAGATGACAGAATGATTTACTCGGCCCTACTGATGCAAAAGAAGGACCAGCAGTTTTTAACAGATCATCTGACGCGTCTGTCTCAGCAGCACTGACCTTAGCTCGTCGTCAAGGCCTCCTAGCTTCCTGCAACTGGGGTGAGAACTTTACAGCTCCACTATATACAGCCCCGTGGTCTTCCCCATCCATATTTGACGGAGGAATAGACACAGTCTCCAAAGAAGTCACCAAGGATTCTAGAGAAGTCCTGATGATTAAATCGATGGACACGCTTAGCCAGTGTCATTCGACAGACTTCACAAAGATACTCAGGGAGATCTAAATTCACGGGCCTACAAAGAGCTAGAGACAGGAAGATTGCCAGTTCCAGGGGAAGAGATTCTTTCATTTAGCCCATATGGCAACTATAGAGGAGGGTCAGGACCGAGGCAGGACACCCAGAGGTTCCCCAAGAACTATAAACGCTGAAAGACAGGTTCGAACGACTTGAGTCTTCCACCCCAGCCGCTCCAGTACAACCGTCACAAGTGGGTGGACGTCTTCAACTACACTGGGAAAACTGGGGAATACTTCAAGACACCTATGTCTCCAACATTCTTCAACGCAGGATTTCGTGATCCCACTACAGGCCAAGCCTCCACTAACAGTCAACCCTCACAAGTTCGAGGTAGAGGCACAACAACTACTAAAGTTAAGAGAGGGCGGTTACATTACTCCTAACCAAGCAGGCCATAGAAGTAATAGAGCAAGGAAACATCGAACCAGGTTTCTACTCCCCAGTTTTCCTAGTACCCAAGAAGAACTCCAAGGAGAAATACAGACTCATTTACAACATGAGCTTATTCAACAAGACTTACTTAAACAAACCACCCAGGTTCACTTATGATACATCTACCAGCTACGGCAGATGATTCGCCCCATGGACTACATGGGCAGTATAGATCTACAAGATGCTTATCTGCACATCCCAATACATCCCGAATCCAGGAAATACCTCGGTTTACGCTAGACGGTTACATTACCAGTGGAAAGTACTCCCCATTCGAATAGCATCAGCCCCATGGTTATTCACGAGGATAACGAAACCGATTGTTATCTATCTACATCGTCAAGGGTACACGCAGTCGCGTTCTTCCTCGACGACGGGATACAAGTAGATCAAGATCCACAGCATCTCAAACTACAGTTAAACTACATCATAAAGCTACTAACACAGCTGGGATGGTTAGTAAACTTACACAAGTCGGACCTAGTACCTTCGCAAGATCTGCAATTCCTAGGAATCCGATTTATCACCAATCTCAACCGTATAGTCATACCAGAAGACCGTTGGCTCAAGATCCAACAGATCATTCCACCAGCTCTACTGTCACCGCTACCACTTCGACAATGGCAGAGCTTACTAGGTCTTCTAACATCAGCCCAAGACTTGACAGTCATAGGCAGATTACAGTTACGTCCGTTACAGGTTTTCGTCAATACACATCTCGACGACCTACAACCATTCAGTCTACCGATACATCTCAGACCTCATCTATTATGGTGGACAAAGAAATCGAATGTCTGCGAAGGGATTTGTTTAGCAGAGCAGGAATTCAAGACCCATCTATATGTAGACGCTGCCGGCTCCAAGGTTGGGAGCTCATCATCTCCAACGGGACGGCATCAGGGTTATGGACTCAGCTAGAAAGCAAACTCCACATAAGCGATTAGAGATGAAAGCTGTAATCAACGCCATAAGACATTGGAGCAACATTCTACAGAATGCGCACCTGATGATACATACCGACAACTTCGACAGTGGTTTTATGTGAACAGACAAGGCTCAACGAGATCGCCGAACCTTTTGAATTTAACCTTTCAACTGTTCAATTAATCCAAGATCTAAATCTACATGTCAAAGCATGCCACATTCGAGCCAGGAATATACTAGCAGACGCTCCACTCTCGGCCACATCTACCGTCGCCCGACAGAATGGATGCTCAATACAGAGATATTTGCACAGATAATCAAGCAAATAGGAGCCCGCTTAGTAGATCTATTAAGCCACAAGGTTCAACAATCAACTACCGACATTACGTGTCACCAGTGCCAGACCCACAAGCATGGGCAACAGGACGCTCTAAGCATTTCATGGGAAGGCCTCAATCGTCACGCGTTTCGCCCCCAGCAATAATACCTCTAGTATTACAGAAAATCAACCAAAGCGCAGAGCCTACAACTCACTTTGGTCAGCCCTATTGGCCGGCCAGAACGCGGGTTTCCCGCCTTTAATACAAGATATCGGTCAACCGGCACTAGAACTACCTTAAGCGGCTGCGAAACCTGTTAATACATCCTCACACCAAACAGGTGCACAGAAACCCAGAAGTATTCAAACTTCAGCATTATGGACTGTATTAAAATGTGTTTAAACAAGAGAGGATATTCTACCAGGGCGGCAAAGCGGTCACGCTTGCCTTACGATACTCAACGTAACTTGTGCGATGACAAGTGGCAAAGTTTCAAAAATTATGCAACAAACAAGGGTTTTACAGCGAGAGATGCCACGATCCTCAAGTGGCAGACTATTTGTGTTACTTACGGCAAAACAAACATTTAAAAGGCTCGACATTGTCAACATATCTTGCTTTAGGTTCTGTGATTTCTATGAGAACGGGTGTTAAATTAACAAGAACACCAGAGTTACTGGCCTTACTACGTGCTTTCGATTGGAGGACCAAAAGCGGAAATTCCACTTCCAGCTTGGGATCTGAATGTAGTTTTCACGACACCTCACAAGTGAGGATTACGAACCATTGGAATCGATTAGCGTTTGAATTTCTCTCAGAAAACAGTCTTCCTGTTATCGCTAGCCACGGCAGCCAGAATATCTGAAATTCATGCTCTAGATTATGAGAGGATACAGTTTGATGAAAATCAAAAGACAGCACCTGGGATTAAGATGGGATTTCATCGCTAAAATCAACTACCAGGTCAACCAGACAGGTTATTTCACATCCCTGCGCTATCCTCAATTCTTGGATCTCAAGATACATTGGACTTATCTCTATGCCCAATACGAGCTCTCATAATCTATTTACGTCGCTCCAAAAACAAGGCGAAGATCGCTCAGAAGATTGTTCATCCCGTTATCGCCTACAAATCAGACAGAAGTCTCTGTACCACCATATCAATATGGATAAGAACTGTCATTTCACTGGCCTATAAGGCAGCAGGACTGGACCCTCCAACAGCATCAAATCCCCATGAAATCAGGGGGCATTGGCATCCACCCTCGCCCTTCATGGTAACTGTTCATTGAATACAATTATGGAAGGATGCTTTTGGAAATCTAACATGGTGTTTGCTAATCACTATCTCAGAGATATCACCACCACGGGGCGTCTCTGGCATTCATCATTTCGGGTCCTTTGGTCCTCGGCCAGCAATTGATTGTAGTCCCTCGTGAGGGCTTAATATTCACCCCACGAGATTATTAGATATATGATACATATATTCACTAGCTTATAACTCCATGGAGTTCTAGGGCTATGTACATATTTAGCTTAGGTTATTCAACCTTAAGCTCATACTGAGTTATATTCAGTGTACAGCTCGTTAGAGTAGCAGTTTTATATATATATATTGATATATCAGTATATTAGTAAGGTAATACCCCACTTATAGTGTATATATCTATGGATTATTATAAGGAAATATCCTAAGTCTCAATGCCTTATGAAGTTCCCGTGAGGGGTTATTACAATATCACTTGCTTAAATCACTAATTAATCCAAAGTATTCTGTTTACCCACCACCTCTCGGTTGGATTCTACAAGTAAAGAGCATGAGTCAGGATAAGGAAAAAATATGTAATTTTCTGAGTAAAATTGATATTTTATACTTATCCTGACTCATGAGGTTAGTCCCTCCCATCCTCCCACATAACACTTTGGATTTCCCTGTAAATTCAAGTGTTGGGCTCGCAAAATCAGGAGAGAGTGAAGCATGAGGCCAGAGGGTGGCGACACCTGTTCCCGCGCTTACGGCAGGGGAGGTAACTCGTGGGTGAGTACCAATTAGTGATTTTACATTGAAGGGAGCTTCAATTAAGGAGATACAAGTGTTCCACTATGTTCGCAAGAGGAAGGGGACAAGCAAAAGAGCATGAGTCAGGATAAGTATAAAATATCAATTTTACTCAGAAAATTACATTGTTCCTCAAACAGAACATTCTGCATGTTAAAAACGTATTGGAGTACAACCTCCAACACCGGCCATTGTTGACCTCAGACACTTCATGTTGAGTAGTGAGCAGTCTGTTGTTTTCTTCATGATGAAATCATTTTTTGATAATTTGATCTCTACTTTTTCTGCTCTTGTGAAAGAAAACACTGAAGTTCCTAATTTTCTAAAAATTAGCATCTTTCAGTTGAAATAGTTATAAATAATCTGAATTGTTACATCAAGGACCATGTCAACAGTGGTAAACAAACAACTACACTTGCATCGTGATTCCGAAAACTATTGTGACCCTTTTATGTTTCTAACTTAATTTGCTAGAATTTATTACATAAATTTAACGTCTTTGTTACAAATTTCTCAAATTAATCAAGTTTGTAAATGATTTCATTTGATAAACCTTCAGACACTGGCAAAGTTGGCAGCCATAGATGACACATGAGGGCATGGCCTAACTCCCGATTGTTTTAATTGAAGAACAGGTTTGACAGGATGTGACATGCATCCTTGTCTTTCATGCTTGATTTGGGCACTGAGACATGTCAGCTGTGGAAACCAGTACTATATCTGCGACATAGTTTGTTATAGCATCAGGATATGTTGATGTGTGTTAGTGGTCCTTGGCACCACATTTCAGAGCAGAGTTGTGTCCCTTGTTATGAGGATCACGATGAGGGTCCTGTCAGCACCACATACGGACAACACCTGTCAAGTGGATAATGTCGGTCATCTGCATCACTTTAGGATTTGTGGCGGTGGGGTAGCCTAGTGGTTAAAGCATTTGCTCGTCCTGCCAAAGACCCGGGTTCGATTACCCACATGGGTACAATGTGTGAAGCCCATTTCTGATTTGACCTGCTGTAATATTGCTGAAATATTGCTAAAAGCGGCATAAAACTATACTCTCTCACATCAGGATTTCTTCAAGTACAAAACAGACAGGTAGTGATATCTTTATTCATAGTTATGTTTAACTCCCTCAGTAAGGTTGTGTCTTGTCTTCTGTATTCAGGGGCACTGAATGACAAGCAGGAGGTGACAACAAGACAGACAGAGAACTCCAAGTCCAACTGTAAGCCAAAGAAAAGAAAGGGGAAGAGCTCTAGTAAATTTGCATTTGGATCCTGCAAACAGTCGTGACATCAGCTGTCTAACCTGGTTGTTCATGTTAACTGCTTCTGTGACTTTGTTTAGCATCGCTCAGCTCCAACTGCTGATCAAGACATCAATGCTAGCAGTGTAAACTGAATCTACATTCAGTCCGAAGATCCCTTTGACATCAGTGCCAGCAGGATAAATCAAGCACAGTTCCAAACACTCAAACATCAATACTAGCTGGACAGACTGAATTGATGTTCAGTCCTAACACCTATCTGTTAGCAGCAGTTGTAGCAGTGTACACTGAATTGTCATTCAGTCCTAAGACCTAGCTTTGGCTCACATGCTATCAGAATAGAATTACAACAGTCCTAATATTACCTTTAACATCATTTCTAGAAGGATAGCCAGTGTCTAGCTTTAGATTCAATGCCTGGTGATAAAAACCTGATGAGACATTGGCACCAGCAAGATAGACCGAATTTGCTGAAACAGCTGGAGGGCTTTACATTATGTCATTGCTAGCATTATTGTAGGAAGAAATACCTAGGGCACTGCAAATTAAAATCTTAAATATATACTTGTATCAAATCAAAAGATTTGACCACTAGTACGTTTTAGTCAGCATATGTCAAAGTTGGCATTTTTGTTCAAGAGATGTTGCCTCGTGGACCCAGTATGTGTGTGTGCAAGAGAGAGAGACAGATGGAGAGATAAGTGGAGAGAAAGAAAGTGAACATATCAGTATGATTTTATGATATGTGATAGATAAAACTGAGGCTGAATCTGTCTCTGAACCCACCATGTTATTGTGGAGATGATTGTACTGTGATGATCAGTGCTTGTAGGTCAGTGACTGGACTGAATGTGATAACATGCCTCCTGGTATATACAAGAGCATGCTGAGGGTAAGGTTGGTCAGTACCTCTCCATGATACTGTCAGCTATTTGTGACTACTGGTGATGCCACCATGGGCAGAGTGTGTCGGACTGATCATGTGGAATGTAAGGTTCCCTCTGATGATGGAGATATACTAAATTCACCAAATTGTTATGTGATGTCTCTCTTCATATTATGAAAGTAACCGCCAACCAGACCAAAGGAGGTAACTGATGTTAACTGATATTTGTTGCTCTGTTAGATATCCAATCGCCATGTTTAGGGACGGAAAGGATTGGAGCAGAATATTTTGGTCATTGAGTTGTCAAAGAGAGGTCAAAGGCAGGATGCCAGCAGAGCAGTATGTCAGAACGACATGTTCAGACGAAAGTGTCATCGCTCGGGTACAGCCACTGGACCTGTGATGAAGAGCTAATGGCAAGCTTGACTGAAGCTCAGAATCAGAATCAGAATCAGAAACAAAAGTCTGAAACACTTTGACGAAGGGAACACTGAAGTTTGTTGTCAATATGTTCTCCTATGTTAATGTTAAGGACATAAGATTGGGAAATTTTATTTATGGACCAGTCTGTTTTATGAATGAAATTATATCATAAATATATTTAAAACAAGTTATTCTGTGTTTTGGTTTTTGGTGTCAATGTGTGCCTGGAGAAGGAGGACTATAAAATCTGAAAATGGATGTTTAGAAAGTCGTACATATTCTGCAAAATATATACAATATACACACATCTAACAACCTAATTGTGACAGAAAACATCCTTAAAAAATAATATGCTTCATGTAGCTTCAGCCGTAGGTTAGATTGTGTTATTCATGTCAGCATGGACCTCATGAAGCAGCCATGTTTTGTCATGGCCCAAGGCAGTTGACCCTGGCCCAGTCTAAAGTTTTGCTGATTGACTGAAATATTGGTGGTTTGTTTGTTAGTTTTGTTTGTTTTAATGCCATTCTCACCAATATGCCATCCACATCTGTCTGGAATAATAACGTTTTGACCAATGCGGATGAGCATTGATCTACATCACTGGGATGGAATATCACTCATCAATCAAGTCCCCTGATCTGATCCAAAAAAACATGCCACAAGTTGCTTGGTGTGACAAGTATGGTTTGGTAAGCCAGGTTCCAAACTAGGTGAAAAATAGCTGGTAAGATTGCAGTTCATCAGCAGTCCTTTGTGCATTGTTGTTTGTTTTTTAAATATATGGGGGGTGTCATGGATGGCCCAGTCATGTGCGGCGCCACAATTTGCTGTGCAGTGTTGCGTCCCTTGGGCACCCCGGTGGGTTTCTTCTTTCTCGATGGTAATAACCGTGTTCTTCATTGAACATAATTGGTTCTGCGATGATTATGTGCTTGTGATGACGCAACTATCCATCGTAATTTTAAAAACAAGTTAAAACTGTGTACAGGTGTGTTAGAGATCCTGGCTGGACAAGCTTCTTGCTGGCACTTGTGAGGCCAGACTGGAACTTGGTGATGGTTTATGAAGCTCCCGTACAGGTCTTTGTTAATACCGACTTGGCCGTGCTGGATCTTGTGTAGCGTACAGAGTCTATATATATATCGTCAGTGTTGGAGGCTACCCCAGTGTAGGTTCCTTAACATTTGGGTGACACAGCCAGGTGTCTTGCTGTGGTAGTCATTCTGGACTGCTTCCAGTGAATTGATTTCATTGAGGCAGTAGGGATCCCACAAGGTGGACGCATATTCCAGGGCTGGTCTGACAATGGTTGTGTAAGTTTTGAATTTTGTTTCGGGTTTATTACAGGGTTTGCCAACATTCGTAAGTTTCCTTGAAAAAGAAAAAGGCCACAGACGAAAAAGCCAGTGTCTCGTCTGTGGCAAGTTAGTTAGATTCTGTAAGGGCAGGGGTTAAGTAATGGGTTTGTAGACGATAACAGAACAGCCAGGTGAGGGGCTAGACTAACAATTAGTCTCTGAAATGAACATATTTTACTGAAAAAAGTTCATAGTAAAAAATATAAAATATAATGAAAAGGAGTCCTGAGACTTTCTTCATTTTCAGCTGAAGCTGAGGAAATCAAGACTTGCCACATTTTCTAGACTTGTGTGGACTTTCTTGGATATATTTGCTTCAGGGTCTGTACGACAGACTAGCGAGGGGCTAGAGGTACTAATTAGTGGCTTGTAACAACAGGGGCATAGAGGAACGGGGGGCTAGAGGAATGATGCCATTCCCTTCACTAATACTACTTGGATATGACTCCATACGCATAATTCAGTGTGATGGATGTAACGCCCTTATCTCGACTGAACATGCGTGAATACCCAGTTCGCAAATTTATTTAAATGTGTATTTAGTACATTTGCAGGAGATGTAATTTCACATTTCACATGAAGTTGATATGTTTGTTTGCTCTTATTAAGTGTATTTTTGTACAATGTGATATATTATCAAGGCCATACAAGACCGCCAAACTTTTCTAGCGACAGAGCCTCGTTTTTAAAATTTCCGCGATTTCCGTTTGTCAGAGCACGCTGTACGACAGAGCACGCTGCATGACGTGTTTGCAAGGATTAGAAGGAGCGTAGTGCTGCAATATGCAAGTGATTAGATGTATCAAATAATGCTGATTAATGTTTATATATCCAGTTGATTGAGTTGGTGTCAAAATTCTGGACTGGTTATTGTACTATAAGTTGCTCAACAGGACGGAACCCAGTCAGCAGGAAAAAAGACTTACAAAAAAGTGTAGCTACTCAGATAACCAGACCTGTCACTGGAATGTCAGATAACCAGACACGTCACTGGGAGGTCAGATAACCAGACACGTCACTGGGAGGTTAGATAACCAGACTTGTCACTGGGAGGTCAGATTTTATAACCAGTCACATCACTGGGAGGTCAGATAACTAGACATGTCACTGGGAGGTCAGATAACCAGACACGTCACTGGGAGGTTAGATAACCAGACACGTCACTGGGAGGTCAGATAACCAGACACGTCACTGGGAGGTCAGATAACCAGACACGTCACTGGGAGGTCAGATAACAAGACCTGTCACTGGGAGGTCAGATAACTAGACACGTCACTGGGAGGTCAGATAACCAGACATGTCACTGGGAGGTCAGATAACCAGACATGTCACTGGGAGGTCAGATAACCAGACATGTCACTAGGAGGTCAGATAACCAGACATGTCACTGGGAGGTCAGATAACCAGACACGTCACTGGGAGGTCAGATAACCAGACATGTCACTGGGAGGTCAGATAACCAGACATGTCACTAGGAGGTCAGATAACCAGACACGTCACTGGGAGGTCGGATAACCAGACACGTCACTCGAAGGTTAGATAACCAGACATGTCACTGGGAGCTCAGATAACCAGACACGTCACTGGAATGTCAGATAACCAGACACGTCACTCGAAGGTTAGATAACCAGACATGTCACTGGGAGGTCAGATAACCAGACACGTCACTTGGAGGTTAGATAACCAGACATGTCACTGGGAGGTCAGATAACCAGCCACATCACTGGGACGTTAGATAACTAGACATGTCACTGGGAGGTCAGATAACCAGACACGTCACTGGGAGGTTAGATAAACAGACACGTCACTGGGGGGTTAGATAACTAGATATGTCATTGGGAGGTCAGATAACTAGACACGTCACTGGGAGGTCAGATAACTAGACATGTCATTGGGAGGTCAGATAACCAGACCTGTCACTGGAAGGTCAGATTACCAGACATGTCACTGGGAGGTCAGATAACCAGACACGTCACTGGAAGGTCAGATAACCAGCCACATCACTGGGCGGTCAGATAACCAGACACGTCACTGGGAGGTCAGATAACCAGACACGTCACTGGGAGGTCAGATAACCAGACACGTCACTTGGAGGTTAGATAACCAGACATGTCACTTGGAGGTCAGATAACTAGACATGTCACTGGGAGGTCAGATAATCAGACACGTCACTGCGAGGTAGGATAACCAGACATGTCACACGTGACTCAGGAGGTCAGATAATCAGACATATCACTGGAAGGTCAGATAACCAGACACGTCACTGGGAGGTCGGATAATCAGACACGTCACTGGGAGGTCAAATAACCAGACATGTCACTGGGAGGCTATTGATAATCCAGACATGTCACATGAGATAATCAGACACGTGACTCGGAGGTCAGATAACCAGACACGTCACTGGGAGGTCAGATAACCAGACACGTCACTG